GGTACTTCCCAACACAGGGCTGGCAAAACCCTGCTCCTTCGTCATCTCTCTTCTAAACCGAAAAGTCCCGGGTTCTCCAGCCTGTCCTCATGGGAAAGGTGCTCCTCCCCATTTGGCTGACGTGTTCAGTGCTTTCCCCAGTTCTGCAGCATCCCTGTTGAGATTCGGCAACCGGAGCTGCACAGGGCATTCCGAACGGGGCCGGGGCCGGGCCCCTGGCTACAGCGGGGCATGTCGGGGCCGGGCCCCCTGACCTACCACCCAGGCCTTACAACTTCCCATCCAGCTGGTTTCTTTTATCGTATTTCCCCCCTGCAAACCACAGCCATGCCGAGCTGAGCCGTTGGCCTGTCCTGCCTACCGGCCATGGACCTCCGGCTGGCTGTGGGAAGGGCACGCCACAGGGCACATCTTTTTTTGTCATTAATATTTTATTGGTTTTTAAGTAGTTTTTAACAAGCTTCAATACAAACATCGCACTGCAATGACAAATCTGAACATTCAAGCTATTAGCGAAATCAAATAGATATGGTAACAGGTTCACACAGCATCACAAAAATGAAGTATATGCATCAAGCGTGCCCAGAAGAGGGCAACCAGGAGGGTGAGGGTTGGAATCCAAGTCTTATGAGGAAAGGCTGAAAGAGTTGGGTCTGTTTAGCCTGGGAAAGAGAAGGCTTAGAGGGGACATGATTGCAGTCTTCCAAGTATTTGAAGGGCTGTCATGTAGAAGACGGAGAAGATCTATTCTCTCTTGCTCCGGATTGCAAGACTAGGTCTACTGGGTGGGAATGACAAGGGAGTCGTTACCGGCTAAATATCAGGAGAAACATCCTGACTGTCAGAGTGGTTGAGCAGTGGAACAGTCTGCCTCGGGAGGTGGTGGAGGCTCCTTCGCTGGACATTTTCAAGCGGAGGCTGGACTCTTTCGGGTATGTTGGAGGGCTCTCTTTCGGCTATGCTCCTGCAGAGTACAGGGGGCTGGACTAGATGACCCGCAAGGTCCCTTCCAACTCTAACATTCTATGATTCTAAGTTGTATAACTTATCTACTTAAAACTCTGCAGTTTTACCCTAAAATGATTCAGAAGCCGAGGTCATCAACCAGTTGCGGAATTTCATTCTGTGCTGTGAAATAATCTAGTGTAGGTAGCCAGATTGTGGGGAAATTGGATTGTACAGAAGGCTGTGAGAGCCATGTTATTTGTGATTTTTGCCATGACATGCAGCTTCCATATTTTTGATGCCATTGTGCTGACACAGGGCACATCTGATCCCTACTCCAGCTCCACCCACCCCTCCCTCGTCGCTTTTAAAAAACTTTTACTCTCTTGTCACTCCTGACCGGTGTCCGCTCTAAGATGGAGTTTGTGTGAGCCAGCTCACAGTTTTTCAGCCTCCGGCTCACAGGTTTTTGTCTTGGCTCAGGAAGACTCCAGAGCAGATTGATTAATGCGGCAGCCAAATCGCTCGCTGCACAACCTTACTGCCGGTCGCTCACCAAGTAGAATTTCTGCTCACAAGACTCCACAGCTCAGAGGAGGCATCGCTCCTGACACAGTGCCCCCTGACTCATTTAAATGCCCCCCGAAGTCCAGAATCCCGGCTCCGGTCCTGACCGATACCAGCCCCCTCCAATACTGGCCATTCCATTTTCAGTCCCCTTCTTCACAATCCCCAGCATGGAGTTGGGCACTCCTGAGAAGGAGCTATCGGGGCTTGGCGGCGCACGATCTGCGGGCCCACGCGAGAAGACTCCAGCCTCTTTGGGACAGAAGGGGGATGAGTTAGGCGGAGCGGCCTGAGAGACACACAGGACAGGGCCCAGCTTTGAGATCTCCTTCTTTGCGGGTTTCCTGGCAGAACCAAGGCAGGCGTCTGTCCCTCACAGCAGACCGAGGGCTGGGCCTTCATGCCCCCGGCAGAGCCTCCAAGGCAGTGCCGTGAAAGTCCTCCAGTGCCCCCGTGGGCCCCACTTGCCCGTTTGCGCAAACGGTCCCCTTTGCGCAAATGGTCTCCTTGCGCAAACGGTCTCTGAGAGAGCCAGTTGGGTGTAGTGGTTAGGAGCGCAGACTCTAATCTGGGAAAACCGGGTTCGATTCCCCCCTCCTCCACATGCAGCCAGCTGGGTGACCTTGGGTCAGTCACGAGTTCTCCCAGAGCTGTTCTCTCAAGGACAGCTCTGTAAAGAGCTCTCCCAGCCCCACCTACCTCACAGGGTGTCTGTTGTGGGGAGGGGAAGGAAAAGGAGTTTGTAAGCCACTCGGAGACGGGTGGCCCCGCTCCACCCGAGCTCATGCCTCGTCACCGGCACATGTGATGTTG